ACCTCGCAGGGTTGTCATTGTGGGGATAAGATGGAGGAGGAGGAGGAGGATGTAAGCTGCCTTGAGCCCTTTGTAGGAAAAAGGCAGGATATATATCCAAAAATAAACAAATGAATGAATAAAACAAAGAGGTAGATAGATAAATCAGTAAATATCAATAAGGGCTTATGGCAGGGAGGCCTAGCTCAGATGCCAGAACATGGAGAGTTAATTATTTCGAACGCGTCTAAACTGAGTAAATGTAAGCTGGAGATTCTCTTACTTGATGAGCTAAAGTGACCGATCATATGGAATGGAAATACACATTTAAATTAACAAAATTGATTTAAGCAAGATGCTTAACACACCTATAAAACAAATTAGATGGAGGTGTGGAATCAGTAGTACGGATTAATGGTGTCGATTCTGAAAAATTTAGGACAGGCAATCAATTTTCACCACTGATATCTGACATTCCCAAAGAACCACTGGCAGCTGCACTCAGAGCAAAGGCTAATAGGAATAAACGCCAAGAGACAGAACAGTTATTTGTATGCAGATGGGCTTCTTTGTCTTAGAAACCCAATTAGGACATTAAGGGTCTAAAACAAGTATTAGAAATCTTCAAGGGTTATAGAGATGAATGTTAATTATGAAACATATCAAGTATTGTGTATGCATAGTTCCCTAGAAGGATAAAAAGAAATTCAAAGCAGGTCTAATTTTGACTTTGTTACTTTATAGAAATTCTAAGGATACATTTCATTGTATAAAGTGACAAATACGGAGATGGTGCAGGTTCAATTTATGTATGTCAGGCATGCTTGAAATACTACGTCTATATATCACCAAAATGCTTCCTGTTGTTTCCAAATATTCCTTTGAATCCAGGTGTTAGGTTAATAAATGTTTGCCCCCATAATGGAAAAGTTTATAGCTGAGAATAATGAAGGGGATGGGCAGATGCAAAATTAATCAAATACTCTGCACTCTCGTCAGACGGGTCAGGCTGCTGGACTGGGAGAAATCAGCGGAGCCCTTGGAGGGTCCCTGAACCAGGGGTCGCGGGGGGCTCGCTTCTCGCCTCTCTTGTCCAGCATTTTCCAGACAGAGGATTTCGAGGGATCCTGCTTCCTTTCAGAGAATTCGTCCAGAAAGGGGGCGAGATCAGGGGTGCTCCAGCCCCGCCAATATCCTGCAGGCCCCTTTTGGGTCCCCCAAATTCCCCTGCCGGAGGGACAAGCGCAGCCGCAGCGCGGAGGGGGAAATGGGGGGCCGCGCTCCGCCGGGACCCACTCACCGCGCCGCCCGTGCGCGAAGGGGCCGTCGATCGCGTAGTTGTGCCGGCAGAAGCGCTCCACGGCGGCCCGGGCGTTCTCCAGCGCCTCCTTGCGGCTGTTGAAGTACTCAGCTGAAGGTTCCCCCAGCGGCGTCAGGGCCTCGTACCGGCCCCGGGCGCTGTCGAAGCGCATGATCTCCGTCCGATCGTAGAAGTCCCTGTCCAGGAAGCGCACCTGCTCCCGCCCCGTCGCGTTGGAGAAGCGGCACTCGGCCTTCCACTGGTACAGGAACCGGCGCGCGGCTGCGGGGGGAGGAGGGACCCCGCCGGGCCCCGTTAACGAGCAGCACGGAGGGCCAATCGCCCCGCAGGACGGCGCCTGTGCCCGCCTCCCTGGACCCGCTGCCAGACGGAGGGCAGCACCCGCCCCACCAGCCACGCCCCCCCAGAGGCACAGCCTCCCCCCCAGTCGGCCCCCAACAGCCCTGCGAGGGAGGCTGCGCGGAGGGGCAGCGGCTGCTCACAGGCACCCAGGGAGCTCCGTGCTCGGATCAGAATGGGAACCTGGGTCGCCAGAATCCCAGCCTGGCGCTGTAACCACTGCACCACACAGCCTCCCCAAAAGGGCAGCCCACGAAGCTGATCGGAGATTCAGTACAGATCAAAGGAGGGAGTTAACCTGAGGGATTCATCTCTCCAAGAGGCACAGGGGGCTTTGAAAGGGGATTGGACAAATTCTTGCAGGAGCAGAAGGCTATCCCAAGCTGCTAGTCCTCATGGCTCCATGCTACCCCCCACTGCTCCAGGAGCACCAGCTGCGAGGGAACATGGGTGCTATTGCTCACATGCACTGCTTGTGGGTTTCCCAGTTTAGGAGACCTGGGCCCCTGGGCTCAATTAACTCTCCCCTCCGCCCCCTGCTGAGCCAACATCTTGGTTCTTCTCTTCATGCCTTTCCGCCACCCTTCCCAATGGGCTTCCTTCTGGATCTCTTGTCCTGTAACTCTTACCATTCCCTGCCAGTCAGACATTCAACAGGTCAAGATCCCTCCCTAACTGCTGAATATCTTGCATCACAGTTGAACTTCTGCCTGACATCGGGGATGTTGGAAGAGTTCTTGCCAAAGGCCTCTTGGAGGACGTGAGCATGGGGCAAGGATTCTTCCGGAGGGGCTGCAGGCGCAGGAGGGCAGAGGCAGCTTCTCCCCGCTCTCAGCCCCCCATCTCTGCATCCACCGGCTTCTCTGGGGGGGCTCGTCACCCTTCAGCGGGAGCAGCTTGCCTAGCACTGGAGGAGGGACACTTTGCCTTTTGAACCTCCGCCTGCAGTGCAGCTGCAGAGAGCACCAAGCACCCAAAAGCTCCTCCCCCTGCATGCCTTCCCTCCCTTCAAAGCATCAGGGGAGCAGTGAATTCAGCCCCTGCCAAGGGACCCTGCGCCCTGGTGGGAGGCCACCTTCCCCAAGTCCCTGAGCAAGGATGGAATCGGGGGAGGTGGGATCCCAGGGCTCCCACCTCTGCTTTCCACCCAGCCCTCCCCCCTCCCAAAGCCCTCTTGCCCCTTTCCCCCCACCAGGGGCCCACAGCTTCCTCCTCAGGGCAAAGGGAGGATGCAGAAAGAGGCGAGGAAGACAAGGGAGATGCGCAGGGACGCCACTAAGGGCACAGCAGCCTGGAATTCGGGTCTGCCCCACACAGGCCATCCTGGGGGCTTCCAGGGGTTGGAGATGCCCAACTGCCAGCATGGTGCCCCCACAGGAAGAGGATGCAGAGGGTCCCTCCCCAAGCCCCTCATCCTGCCCCCTGCCCCATCCTTACCTGGGGGCGCCTGCCTCCCTCCCCCTCCGGGGACCAGGGGTGGCCCCAGCAGAAGCACCAGCGTCACTGGATGGATCCAAACAGGCCCCATGGCTGCTGCTGCCCCACAAGTGGACAAGAGGAAATGCTGCCTCAGTCCCAGAAGTGAAACTTTTTCTTCTATAAAGTGGGGGTGTCAAAGCCCACAAGGGGGAGCAGAAAAGCACCAATGAGAATTTTCCCTGGTGCGGCATCATCAGTCTCCGGGCAGAGGGAGCCCGGTCTTGTCCCTTCAAAGGAGATTGGTTTTGGCTGCGAAGGAAGCAGTGCAAGCTCCGGGTTTATTTGGTGGGGGAGGGATGAATCAAAACCGCACCGCAAGTTCCCCTTCCTGCCAGGCTGGCTGAGGTGCAAGTCGTGGAGCGGAGAGCCGGAGACCCTTTTGGGCAGGGAGGGGCCACAGTCGGACTGTTGGTTGTAAAGATCAGGGGTGGGACACCCAGCACCCCGTGACCTGGGAAGGGGTCTTTGGGTCCGTGTTCCCAACTCAACTGTCTCCTCCAGGGGGTCTTCCTGGGACCTGACACATTTGGGGTGGATCCAGACCCTGTTACACCAAGGGGGCCGGACTCTGGGGCCGGGTTCACACAGAAAGGGAAGCCATGGAGGTCCCGCCACAGGATGGGCTCTTGAGCTGCTGATCCGGGGCTTCGCCCTGCTGCTCAGCACAGTCGCTTTCCCAGGACCCGGGGAGGAGGGAGGGCGTGTGGTATGGCCTCCAGGCTTCACCAGGGCTTCTCCGGTCACCTGAATCCGGAGACATGCTTTTCACAGGGCTGCCATGGATTCCAGTGGAAGGAGCTGCAACTGCAGGAGCCCCTCTAGTCATGCAGCCTGTACATGCAGGCCAATCTGAAAGAGGCAGGCAAGGGAGGCAGGAGCAGTGCACCCTGGGAGTGAATTTCAGCTGCACTGGCTCATGGGATGCGTGGCACCAGCACTGGGGAGGCCCCACCTGGGGCCCTGCGGCCTGCTCTGGACACCAGAGTTGATGAGGGATGCAGACAAGCTGGGCAGGGGCAGGTGTGGCACCAGGATGATCCGGGGCTGGCAATGGAGCCCTGCGAGGAGGGACAGGCAGAGCCGGGTGTTGTTAGCCTGGAGGAGAGAAGGTGCAGGAGAGGAAGGCCAGCACCCTCCTCCATCATCCCCGAGTGCAGGACACGGAAGAAGAGACTCCAGGTGTGGGAAGGCAGGTTCTGAAATGCTACAAAACAAGATGGAAACAGAAGTTATTTTACAGATCTTATGACATTATCCGTCTATTAAGAGAATGTGGAACCTTTTTCTTTTTCAGGACTCTTAGAAAACTGTATATGGAAGGGGCCCGGAAGGCCATCGAGAGCAACCCGCTGCTGTTGCAGGACACCCAGTCGCACCATCCCACTCGGAGGGCTGCCCCATTTCTTTTCAATGCCTCCAGTGCGGGAGAGCCCCCACCTCTCCCGGCAGCTGGCCCCACTGCTGTGTTGCTCCGACCGTGAGGAAGCTTTTCTCGATGTCCATCCTGGATCTGGGTTGCTGCAACCTTTATGGGTTCTTCCGAGTCCTGCACTCTGGGATCAGCAGGAAGAGATCCTGATGTTCCTCTTTGTGGCAGCTTTGGAGGCACTTTGAGAGGGATTCAAGTCCCCCCTCCTGCTTCTCTTTTCAAGGCTGAGCTTGCCCAGTTCTCTCCATCTCTCCTCACAGGGCGGAGATTCCAAGCACTGGATCATTTTTCTTGCCCTCCTTGTTGCACCCTTTCAATTTTCCTGTGTCTCACGTAAATCTTGGTGACCAGTGCTCAGATCGGTGGACATCACCCTCCACCTCCTGCTCTCAATCCTTTCCCCAGAACAACAGCCCTGCGAGGTAGGTTGGGCTGACAGTCTGCGACTGGCCCTAAGTCACCCAGTTGGTGCTGCGGCTGAGTGGGGACCAGAAGCCACATCCTCTGAGTCCCGGCCCCACGCTCTGAGCCACAAAAGCAACCCCACAGAGTTTCCAGCCATGTCGTGGCTCAGGCACCCGGACCTCCGTCATCTCCCTTTGCCCAACTCCCTGACCTCCA